GGTCCGGCACTGCTTCCCGCACCCGCAATGCCTCGAAGAAAGGGAGGGGATCCAAGGGGAGGCACAACGACTGGCCCATAGAAGAAGCAATGATTGGTCCTGATGCTACCGGCTGACCCCTGGCCGGTATCGCCCACCTTCTGTACCAGGTATCGCACCTGCTGCTGGCTGCAGCTCCCGCATGTTCCCTCAATGGAGGCTTGAGGGAAACAAAAAAAAACAAAAAAAATCCCACCCAAGAAGAATGAGCAGCGTTTCTTGTTAAAAAAAAAAAAAAAAAAAGCTAGGGAAAGCGGCCTCTTGGATGATACCCATGAGAGTCTTCGGTTTGTCCACCTTCTTGTTCAGCCGCCTTCTTGTTAAAAAAAAAAAAGCAAGGGAAAGCGGCAAATTAGAAAAACAAACAAAAACAAAAAATCAAGGTAGTGTCCGAAGACGTCCCGCTCAGAGGGTTTGTCCGCCTTCTTGTTCTGCGCGGCTGAGGGCATACTCACACTGGGGCCTATATTCCCAAATTCCCCCCCAAAAAGGTGCAGGACTGGTCACACATATTTGCCGAAGTCCTAACTGTACCATTTATACCTTTCTCGGCCTTTTGGCTAAGATCAAGTGTAGTATCTGTTCTGATCAGTTTAATATCTGATCCGTGGTCCATCCGACCACACGATATTAAATTAATTTTTCTGGGCCACGTAGGGGTCATACGGGTAAGCTTGCTTACTCTACCCTCCAGTGTTGCCTCTAATTTGTTTTTTGTTTTGTACGCCAAAATACTGAAAGAAGTAGATGGATTTTTTTTTTTGGCTCACAAGGTACATGGGCCTCACTGCACTACTCACCAAATGTGCAGAATGAGACTGAATCCAGCGCTAGAACATGGATAGATACATTGCCATCTTTTTTGTCTTTTGTTTGGCAGGCTGTTTTCTTCATAGACTATTTTTGGCAATACCACCTCTGTAGGTGGTCTACAGAAGGGTCCTCCCGCGGTCCTGCAGGCCGCTGACAGAAGGGTCACCATTTGAGGCATTTGACCAAAAATTTTGGGATTTAACTTCATTTAAATTCATTAGGTGCCCATCTGATTATGCCCTGGCCCCTGGGTTGTCTTTTTTTCTTTTTTTTTTTTTCACAAAAGAGGTCTCATATGTTCAAACATTCATATTCGAGACAGGGGACCTCACATTCTTCCCAAAAAATTTGGACCATTTCTTGATTTATGCGTGTCATCCTTTCGCGGGGGCCATGCTAAAGGTCAGTTCCCACACTACTCCTACCAAGTAAAAATATGAGTTTCAGAGGATCCCACTTCTTTCCATATGAGCAGGTCGCGACGGAGCTGGTGGGAGGGTGTGGAAACAGTGGTGGGAGGGTGTGGAAACAGTTCCTATCGTGGCAGCTCGGGAGTGATCGCGGGCGCAAGAATCTGTCCAGTGTTCCAAGAGAAGCCAACCCCTCACCTGCCCCTAGAAAGCGGAAGCAACTTTTTGCAATTGTTTTTTTTTTTTCTTTTCTGTCACTCCCTACTTTCGTATGTTGACCCGCCACCCTCCCACATAAGTGCGCCGCGATGCTTGTAAAACGGCCATGCTTTTCGGAGTTGTGCGATGCAATCTTCCTTTCACGGACCGATCAGAGCAGGCTCGACACCGGGTTTCCACAAATATTTGGCCGAGGCCCTCGTCATCAGTTTATAGGCCTCCTCACCCAGTCTCCTTATTGTGAGTGGAAACCAAAGTAGAGATAAAGCAGCAGACGAAAGGACAAAAGCCCGCCCAAATAAAGACAACTTGTGGTTTCTTTGCCAGCTCAGAATGCGGCCAACCACCTTTTGGGTTAACAGTATGTCCTGTGATTTGGAACAGTCTGAGAATGAAACCAGTACTTCAAGAAATCTTTCTGAGCTCTCGGTCGGTATTTGCCTCAAGCCCCAGTTTACTTCCAGCGTAAAGCATGATGGCAAAAAATACACCGACTTATGCCAATTAATAGATGCCTCAGATAAAATACAATACAAATGTAACATTCTTTTTAATTCTTCTAAAGCAGAAGCAGAACTCTCACATGCAAGCGTTAGGTCGTCTGCCATAGCCCCTCCCTTCCATTGGAGGGAGGGGGTTACAGCCAACCCTGTTATTAGAGGATTCTTTCTGATATTATCAAGTAGAATTTCAAATTGTAACACGAACAAGAGAGGGGTCAGCGGGCAGCCCTGCCTCAGCGAGCATGTCAGTGGAAATTCTTCTGACAGAAGCCCATTCACAAGTACTGTTGAAGTAGAGTGGGCGTACATTGCTTTAATCCATGTTTTGAACCCAGAACCGAAGCCCATTCTAGTCAAGGTAGTTGATACAAAAGTCGAACTTACTTTATCGTAGACCTTCTCCATATCTAGCAAGAGGACAACGACCTCCCGCTTTTCTTTACCAATGATCTCAAGGGCCTGGACCGTTGTCAAAATATTTTCAAAGATCGAACGGCCTTTCACAAAGGCACCCTGCTCCCAACCAATCAGTGGTGGTACGAGATCTGCAATTCTCAAAGCCAGGGCCTTTGCTAAGATCTTGTATGCTACGTTCAAGACGGAGATCGGGTGATAGTTACAAACCTCTCTTTTATCGCCCTTCGTAGATAGAAGTGAGATGACCCCTTTCACGAAGCCCTTGGGCAGAACTCCTGTTACTAGGGCTCTCTTGTATATTTGACACAGAAAGGGAGCAAAGGCCCCCCATGCACTAAGAAAAAGTTCCACCGGTAGTCCATCCATCCCCGGGCATTTACCAAGGGCCATTCTTTTGACCGCCCTGTAGAGTTCTTGTTAGGTTAGAGGGGAGTCCAATGTTTCCCTTTCGGGCCCGGAAATTTGAGCGGTAGAGGAATCCCAAAAGTTGGACTCAATTGCCAGATTTGAATCAAAGTGGCCATATGGTCTACGAGTGGTCACTATATCTCTGAAGTAGTCCAATGCACACTGACACATACTCACCGTGTCCAATGCCGGCGGTGCAGTTAGAGAGAAGGGGTGGAGAAGCTCTTTGATTAACGGTTTCGTGTGACGCAAAATCAGTGAACGAAAAGTAGGCTTTGTCATCCTATTATAGACCGTTATCCCTCGCAACGTCAACCATTCAATCCAGTCCTTTTGTCTCTGCCGTTCGGCTTCTTCTAACTGAAGAAGGGCTTCTTTCATTTTCTGTACCCGATAATAATCAGCAAAGGGGTCTGTTCCCAGACTCGATTCCGCTAGTACTATGGCTCTTTTAATCTGAGTTTCCGTCCAGTTTTGTCGGGCGGCTTTCAACCGCGAAACTTCAATAAGGGTCATTCTAATAATTTGTATGCCCACATCAGCCCACTCTACTTCATTCTGAAACAGATTTTTTTGGCCAAAGGCCAGGCCTTCACCTGGTCCTCTACCCACTGGGGAACGCCTTTATCCTTAAGGTTATTTATAGAAAAAACTATGGCGCAGTCAGGGTTACAGTTTGTAATTGCATTTGAAACTGGGTTTTAGCAGTTTAGTCAGGGCCCAAGTTTCAATTGCAGTTGAAACTGGTTTCAACAGTTTGAAACTCGGGCTGGGTTTTTCTAGCAGTTCAGTCAGGCACATGGCCGTTTCTTTCTTTCTTGGTTTTTTTTTTTTTTCTTCTTCTTCTT